TTAAAATAAATTGCACCAACCTGGAGGTGTAATAAGGTACATCATATACTTCTAAGAACATGCTCTTGAATGTACAGAAAACTGTAGAGACATATGTACAAACAAGAGCACTTGGAGCACAGTGCCTGGCACACAGCAGATACTTAATAAATGTTTACTGGCTGATTACTCTGCTTGATCAAACTATACAAGACTCTCTAAATAGCTTACCAAGCATTTCCTAAAATATAGGAACAAAACACAATCACTCACATTGACAACTGATTTGATACACTTGATACTCCTTGATTAAAAATAATAATAATAAACTCCCTGTATCCTTCTTCTGATGCCTTAACAAAAAGCTTTTTATGGAAAAAACACTGGCTCTGGAGTTAGAAGATACAGGTTCAAATTCAGTCTCTTTGATGCTCACAACCCCTGAACCCTGGGGTATGTAAGTCACTTAACTACTCTTTGACATCTAGTTTCCTCACCTGTGAAATTAGAGGGTCACAGCAGACAGTCTCAGAGCTCCTTTCCAGTTCTAAGTTTATTGTCCTACATATTTGTAGTAATAGAAAATTTCACATTGCTTTCTAAATAAAATATTACCATCAATGCAAATTTCAAAGCCATATAAGAATAACTAAATATTCTTCTCAGTTTCCTGATTTTTGTGTTAAGAGCTTAAAAAGTTACCAAGTTCCCAAGTTTACCCATTTTTTAATGTTAGTGAACAGAAAATAAAGTTCTCAACCATTAAATCTCTACTATTCCCTCTATTTTCAAGGTCCCTAAAATAATAGGCTTAATAAAGAGCCGTAAGGACTTTCATTTTGTCTATTCCATAAGTGATGCTCATCAAATTCAGTCATAATTTGTTTGTTGTTTAGCCATTTTTCAGTCATGTCCAACTCTTTATGACCCCTTTTGGGGTCTTCCTGGCAAAGATCCTGAAGTGGTTTGCCATTTCCTTCTCAAGCTCATTTTACAGATAAGGAAACAGAGGCAAACAGGGTTAAGTGGCTTGCCCAGAGTCACAGAGCTAGTAAGGGTCTGAAGTCACATTTGAATTCAGGTCTTCCTGACTACAAGCCGGGTGATCTATCCACTGTTCCACCTAGCTGCCCATAATTTGTACCGGACCCCAAATAAAATTGTGACCAAATATTCTATTTTATTCAAAATAAGAGTGTAGAAACATTAAACCAATAACCATCATTCAGAATATACACAAGCTTATTTAGTTGTGGTTTCCTGTACGCCAAGGGTTCTTAACCTTTTTATGCCACAGACCCCTTTGGCAGTATGATGAAGCCTATGGATTCCTCAGAAAATGTTTTTAAGTAATTGAAGGAAATGCAAAATTTTACTTGGATGTAATTTTTTCCCCTTCCAAGTTCACAAATCTCCCTGAAATCAAATCCCTGAGCCCCAGTAGAGGCTGATCCTCTCCTCTATATAGATTTTCACAAACATCATTCTCACCTGGTTCTCCTACCTATCTGACCACTCCTTCTCAGTCTCCTTTACTGGATCTTCATTCAAGTTACACCCTCTAACCTTAGGGGTCCTACAGATTTCTGACCATGGGTGCTCTTCTCCTCTCCTTTTATACTACTTCACTTGGTGCTCTCATCAGTTACCATGGATTTATTTATCATTTCTGATATGCTGATGATTCTAAAATCAATACATCCTGCCCTAACCTCTCTGCTGACCTCCAATCTCACATCTCCAACGGCCTCTCAGACATCTCAAAAAGACCAATATACCAACAGGTCCAACAGACCTCTTAAACTCAACAAGTCCAAAACTGAACTCATTCTCCTTCCCTCTAAAATCTCCCCTCTCCTAACTTCCCTATTATTATAGAGGGCAATACCATTCTCCCAGTACCTCAAGCTTGCAACCTGGATATAATCCTCAATCCTTCACTGTCTCTCATACCACCCCCCAATATTCAATCTATTGCCAATACCTTTGAAACATCTCTTGAATACGCCCCCTTCTCTCCTCCGATAGTGACACCACCTTTGCCCTTATCACCTCACACTTCGACTACTACAGTAGCATGCTGATGGGTCTTTATGTCTCAAGTCTGTCCCCCTCTCCAATCCATCCTTCTTTGGCTGCCAACATGATTTTCCTAAAACTCAGGTCCAATCACATCACCCCCTGATCAATAAATTCCAGTGACTCCCTAATGCCCTCCAGGATCAAATACAAAATCCTCTGCCTGGTGTTCAAAGCCCTTAATAACTTAGCCCCACCTACCATCACTATCTGTCCAGTCTTCTTACACTTTATTCCCCCACCACATACTCTCTAATCCAATGACACTGGCTTCCTCACTATTCCTTCAACAAGACACTCCTTCTCTTGACCCAAGACATTTTCTCTGACTGTCCCCCATGCCTAGAATAGCTCTCCCTCCACATCTCTGCTTATTAGCTTCCCTGGCTTCCTTCATATCTCAACTAAAATCCCATCCTCTACAAGAGGCACATTCCAACTCCTCTTAATTCTAGTATCTTTTCTCTTTTAATTCTTATTTTTTCTGTATATAATTTATTTGTACATATTTGTTTGTTTGTTAGAGCCTTCAGGATAAGAACTGCCTTTTGCCTCTTTTGGTATCCCCAGTGCTTAGCACAATACCTAGGGGATTAATAAATGCCTATTGATTGACTGACCAACAAGAATTTGCCCTCTAGAAATTCTTCCTTAATCTTCATTATATTCCAAGTTATTACTAAAAACTGATGATCAAGCAATAGACAACAACCAATTTATCTCAGAGGAAACATGAAGTTTCCAAGAGTCTCTCACCTTCCCAAAGGGCTCTTATTAAACAAAATTACTCTCAATAAACTGGTCTGAAATTGGCCTTTGTGGTACAGATATAATACTGTGTTGTCATACTGTTTTTCCTATTTAATTGTTATAAGCTGGCAAAATGTTGACGTTCACCCCTCCCCCCCCAAAAAATCCTGTTCTTGAATAGTTGGATGGTTTTCAACATAATCTGACTGTTCTTAAGAACTGAGCAGGGGAGAACACAATTTATCTATGATTCTTTTCACAAGCACCTCTTCAACATTCAACCGGCCCCTAAAAACTATTTCTCCATTCAAATTTCAGTATTGTCACCATGTTTCTTTATTCATTTTTCTGGTCTAATGAGGATCAAAATCCTTTCTAATCCTCAAAAGCTAAATAAGGTTTTCAGAGTAATGTTTAATTTTTAGGCCTGTCAGCTTCTACATTGTCCTTTGTCAGATATGAAGGTAATGGGAGCATGTTACATGTCTGCTTCAGATTAAATAAATTCCTACAGAAGCCAGGATTCTTCCCAACCTTGTCAGTTCAGCAGCTATGATTAGTTTTTTTTCCCCAAAGAGGTTTTTCTACATTTCTCTAACCAACTAAAAGAATTTCATTCTTATTGAGAAATATATTTAACCCAAATTGTTTTACTACAGAGTTTCTGTGAACTCATACTCAGATAAATTAACAGTCTCCTTATTAAGTAGGAGATAATCTTCTTTCCAGGAATCAGTGGTGACCTTTTTTGGTTCAGACCTGTGATTTCATCAGTGTAGGGAATTCCCAAGTATAGAAACTCTGTCAATGATGCAGCAGAGCCACTAATCGGTAACTTTAGAGTATTAGAGTTGCCTGATGCTCTGAGAAGTCATGACTTCCCCAGGGTAATACAGCTAGTATGTGTCAGAGGTAGGACTTCAACCCAGGTTTTCTGAGTTCTAGGATGCCATAAAGGAGGCAGAGGGTCACTGCCTCGCTAACTGTCACATGGGACTTTCAAATCAGATTTTTTAAATCATCAGTTACACACTTTGGAATTTTAATTTAATCTCCACCACCATTTCACTCTCTTTTTTAAAAAATTAAAAGCCTGAGATGTTTTATGTCATATTTGAGGCTTTTTGCTATCAAAAGCCCAATTTTTCTGTACTAGCCTCTAGCACACAAAGCTGTACAAAAAACTAAACATACAAAAAAATACAGAACCAAATGAGAGGTAACAAACTAGCAAGGCAAGTTGCTGAGTTTCTTTAAAACCACTAGCATCCGTAGTATTGTCCATATTCTTCATTTTTATTCATGAAAGTTCGTTTGATTGATGTATTTCTTAGAAGCTGTATTGTGATATACTTCAATATAATGGGAGCTGGATTCTGATAAATATGAAAACAATGACTGTCCATAAACACAAAGCAGACAGAGGGGAAAGGAAAGTAAATTGAGAATACCTAAAACACCAAAGCAAAAAAGTAAGAGGCTTAAAAATTAGTACAATCCTCAAAAATATCCCTCATACAATATACCAATGACTTCTTTCTAAGAAAGACATGGCAGGGTTGAGGTGGGAAAGGGGGATGTGGATTGTGATTATATCCATTTTTAATAATGTAATACCTTGAACTTAAAAATGCTTGTAATTCATTAGGGTAACTAAATTTTTTTATTTTAAAAAATTATCCCTTCCTATACCCTCTTCATATAGCATTAGTTCCTTCTATGAGATTATCTACTTCCTGTAGCCAAGTCTACAAAAATGTTAGTCACAGATATATACAATAAACCCATCATAATGCCCACAGAGCCAAAAGCTTTCACATTATTAAAAAGGGAGGCCTAGACAGCTTGGAACAGTTAATGAATTTTTTTTTGGCACTTAATTTTTCCATTTGCAAATCCAGCATATTCTCCCTAGAGTATCAGCTATCCTTCCAATGGTCACCAGTGATTTATATGAAAAACAAAAAATACTTCTTAAAAGGGTAGGGTGGAGAAAAATAGAAAACCAGTCATATAGCTAGCCAACTACAGGCTTACTTCAATAGTACACCTAACTATTCCAAAGTTTGTCATAATGGCTTAATTTGATAATCCTATTACTTTTCATTTAAAACATTTTAACAAGTAACACGTTCAGATAGGGAAAATTATATACATGTATATGCATATAAACATCTAGCCATAAAACTTACCTTTCAGCAGAGGCAGAGGCGTTAACTCAATAGGCTTGCCCTGAGACCTGAACTGTGAGGAGCTTTGCGACCTCTTCTGTCTGGCTTTCCTGACGGACTTCCGAGAAAATCCGTCTACTTTATCCACTGATGGAGGAGTGGTTGGTGCTGAGGACATATCCCTACTGAAGAGAAAGTAGTATTATAAATAGAGTCTCAAAGCAAATGCAAAAAGGTGCTAGGCACAAGTTAAATACTAAAAATCACATAAATGATGACTATAAAATTAAAAGTAAACTGGTAGTATGCTACAAGGAAAGTATAAAAGAAATAAGCAATGCCAGAAGTTTGATCAATTACTTTGCTATGCTGTTTTTCTCTAGACATACCATTTCTAGTTTCTAAGATGTTTCTTATGGAATCTTGCTTCCTATAATAATGTTAAAAGCATCAAATCACATTTATAAATTAAAACCAGAAAGTCTTAATTCATACATTTTCCCCAAATATTTAAAACTACGAACAACATCCAGATTTTTCCTTTTTTTTTCCACTGAGCAACTATATCATTACTTTACCAAGAAGTGAACCAAAATTGTTGCAATTATCTAGAGATGACTTTTAACATGTTATCTATGTTAAAAGTCCCACAATGTAAATGATGACAGGTTCAATTACTTTGCAAAGAATACATAAAAGGGCATGATTAAGATCATTTCAAAGATGAGGCTTCTTTTTGAATGAAGCCATCTTACATTATTAAAGCTGAATATAAAAAACTATGATGAAATCATGCAGTAAACACAGCTGAACTCAAAACAAAATTCATAGCCTTCTCAGACAACCAAACTGAATTCCCCTGATATTTAGGCAATGAAGTTCATCACCATCTAACATCAACTTTCATGTCTTCAAACTGACTTTTCACCCCAAAAGAAGATTCTTCACACTTTCAAATAAATTAAAAAGGATGTACCCTGAAAGCAACAAGCCTTATACTTGTTTTCATTCAGCTCCTGAAAACAGAAGCCACCATCTCCATGGCACTAAGGCCCCAATGCAAGATTAATGGTAGAGTAGGACAGAAATACCACACATGGAGAAATGCTGAAATATAATAACTTATCTGCAGTTCCAATATATAAAACAAGTGTTTCTACAGAGGAGAATAAGGAACTTCCTCCTTGATTTTACATGTATTTACCTACATTCTAAATTTTTTTAAAGAAATACATGCCAACATACACATTATTAAGGTTTGGGTTTTTTAAAGATCTATTTCATTTTCTTCAAAGAGCTTTTTCCAGCTGATCATAGCAACCAAACTTTCTTTAAAAAAAAAATCTATCCATGTGATCTTAAATACAAACATAGCAGATAAAATGGAATTGCATGCTATTAAAGGGTATAAGTCACAAGAGATCACTTAAAAATTTCAGGATACTTTTTTTGTACTGAATTTAGGAACATTCTCTATACCCTGGTTTATGAATTATTTAGCTCTAATTGTAACTCAACAAGACTTAAATTCCCTAAATCCTATGCTTCCTTCACTCCTTTTATCTCCCTTTTCCACTCTCCCTCCCCCACTTCCAACTTTGAATCTCTGGTACAATGACAGATACCAAGCTAGTTTATAAAAACAGAGAATTCCAATGACCTGACTCTTCTGTTCAGAGTGAAAAATGAATGTCAAGAATGTCAACCCCAAGGGGCTACATACTTGACAATATCTATCAATAGGTTTGTATGCAAAAGCAATGAAGAAACATTCACTACATCCTAGTTTAAGGTGCCTTTTATTTTCCACTGGGTAGCAGGCACTGGGTATTTTCCAGGGAGTTAAAACGCAAAAAGGAGGGAAGGAAGGAGAGAGAGATGGAGATGGGGAAGGGTTAGAAAGGGAAAAGAGAAATGGGAAAGAGGTAGAAAGGGAAAAGAGATGGGAATGGGGAAGAGGAAAGGATGGAGATGGAGAAGGGAAATGAAAAGAAATGGGGAAAAAGGGAGAAGAAGAGATGGAGAAGGGAAAGGAAATAAGAAGAGATGGAAGAAAGAGAAAGAGATGGAGAAGATGAAATGTAGTAAGGGAATGAGAGGAAGAGATGGGGATGGAGGAGAGGAAGAGAGGGGGAAGGGGATGGAGAAGATGAGATGGAGAAAAGGAAGGAGGGGAAGAGATGGGGATGGAGGAGAGAGGAAGGGATGGGGAAAGGGAAGGAGAAAGAGATGGGATAGAGGAGGAAGAGATGGGGAAGGAGAAAGAGATGAGAATAGGGACAGAGAATGAGAAGCGGAAGGAAAAGGGAAAAGATAGGGAAGGGGAAGGGGGTCTGTCAGTGGGGATGCCACCCCCTCCTCTCCCCTCCCGCTCCCCGCCCCCAGCTCTAAAGGAGAGAAGCCGCTGCTCGAACCTCTTCCCCAAACCACCCCGGGCCGCGGGTGGAAGGAGGGCGGGGGAAGAATCTGACCCTGATCCCGGAAGGGAAGGGAAAGGGGGGAAGAGTGTTGATGAAAAGAGCCGGGACCATTTCCAGGTAAAGCAGATGTGCGGGGCGCCCTCAGGCCGGGCCTTGCCCCGGGCCGGGCCGAGTTGCAAGCAGGTTTCTTCTCCCGGAGGGCGGGCTGGAAGAGGCCAGCCGCGGGCAGGTCCGGGCCGGGCGACATGGGGGCGAAGTTACCTTGAAGCTCCTGGGAGAGAATCCAGAGATGATCGGTGGTTCCTGGGTGAGGGAGCGGGGCCGCGGGGAATAGAAGGAGGCTGGCGGCGGCGGCGGCTCCGGGAGCGGCTGCGGCGGCGTGCGGCGGCGGGGAGGCCGGGGGACGGGAGGGAGCCCCAGGCGACAGCAGCCCCGTTTGGAGTCTCTCCGGCTCGGCTCGGCGGCGCCTCTAGGCCTCACAGCGGTACCCAAGGGCTCCGGCTCCGGCAGCGGCGGCGGCGGCGGCAGCTTCACGATCCTCCCCCGCGGGCCCGTCCCATCAAATCGGCATCTACCCCGCTGCGGCCCCGGCGGTTCTTCACTCACATTCCCGGCGGGCGGCGCCTTTGCTCGTTGCCCAGGACCCGGCGGCGGCGGTGGCGGCGACGACGTGGGGAGGGGGGGAAAGGGAAGGGAGGGAAGCTGAATCCGCCGCAGCAGCAAGAGGGAGGAGGAAGGAAGAGGAGGAGGAGCCGCAGATGCTGGAGCCGCAGCTGCCGGAGCCGCCGATCGGTATCCGCGGTAGGTTTCAGTCAATGCCCCCTTTCTCTCTCCTATTGTCAATATCACCGAGCCGCTGAGTCCATGGCACACGTACAACCGAACATGCTGGCGACCAGCACCCGCCCCCCGCAGCTGGCCACTGGAGCCTTTAAAAAGGAAGAGCTGCCCCATTGGTCCGCGTGCGCTTTCACTCCTGCTCCAGCAGGTTAGGCTGAGAGCAGGTCAGGGATTGGCGGTGGGGGGGCGGGGAGACGGCAAGGGTGGGAAGAAAGAAGGCTGCTGATTGGGCTGGCGAGTGTTGTTACCCGGATGCAACGGCGAGGCCGGCGATCGCCGTTGCTGTTTCCGGCATCGGCCTTGACTCGGTTGCTAATGCCCCAGAGGAAGGCTTAGGAATGTTTGGAACTCCTTGCACCTGGCTGGAGTGGAGGGGTGCCCGTTGCCAGTGGGACAGAGGAAACCGCGGCCTCTGGTGAGGGGACCCCTATGGGAGATAGATGGGGAAGCGATGAGGAACCTTCCTTCCTTCCCACCGCTAGAGCCGATCTTAGCTCTCGCCTTCCCGGGAGGGTCATGCAGCGGAGGCCAGGGTGTCTGGTGACCCCGAAACCGTGAGAAGCCTCCCGGCAGTGCGCCTGCAGCCTGCTTCCTCAGCCGGTTGGTTGTGGCGGTGGTCTTCAATCCAGGATTTCTCTGCCATTAGCCCGCCTTCTCCACCGACTCTGGGCAACGGTCCTTCACTGGGGACCCGAGCCCAGCAAGGGTCCTGACCAAGGAATCTCATAAGGATGCTTCGATTCCCCGTCTTCCCTTTGTACTGTTGTTTTGTTCTGTCCTTCCTTTCCAAAATTAATGATCCTGTGTTTGGCCTTTTCTGCTTCGTTTGCAAGAGTTAGGAAGGCTCATGAAGAAACATTTATTCTAGTTCACGTAGACATAGGATCGTAAATTTGGAATTGGAAGGAACCTTAGGGTTCATCTATCCCAGCCTCTCCTTGCCAGGTAAGGAAACTGAGACTCAGAGAAGTTATGTGACATGTCCCAGGTCACACAGGTAGTGAGTGGCAGAGCCAGGATTCAACCGAGTCTCTCTGACTCCAAATACAGCCTGCTTTCTACAAACCCACAGTGCTTAGACATCATGTTTGACACCATACCAAGGAAGAGAGAATATATGGTATGTAAAATATGGTATAATGTAACGACTATTACTAGCCAACGGTCAGAAGACCTGTTTTGGTCCCATGTTGGAAACTTTCTATGAGGTTACTCCTCTTCCCTTAGTTCCTTATCTGTGTAGTAAGGATAATATACTGTATCTGACCTTGCTACATCACAGGTTTATAAGGCTCAAGTAAAATAAGATATGTGAAAGTGCTTTAAAAATTGTTAATTCCCATACGACAAAAATTAAAATATAGTATGGCCTCCACCAGGAATTCTATCCCTTCTTATCTCTGCCTTTTAGAATCCCTAGGTTCTTTTAAAGTTTTAAGCCAGGTGCCCCTGAATCCTTTCATGATCAATTGCAGACCCTACCCAAAAATTAAGTTTTATTTAATTTCTATATAGCTTGTATTTCCTTTTCTAATGTACATGATCACTCCTCCTTCCTAACCTCCAGCAAGTTCCTTGAAGGTAGAGACTGCTTTCATTTTTGTTCTTTACATCTCTAGTGCCTGCTAAGCACAATACCTAGCACACAGCAGGTGTTTAATAAATGCTTGTTGACTTGATCAACCAAAATATTTATTAAGGAACTGTAGATAGAAAGTTAAAAGCAGAAGTCTGCTTTGAAGAATCTTGTATGTGTTATATATTATATATTCCTACAAATGTAAAATTCTGTTACTACAAAATATCTCTCTATAAGTTTACAGTCTTAAAACAGGCAACATAATAAAGATGAGGATGTGAAAGAAAATAAAAATTTATGATGTACCTTCAACAGTGTTAAATTCTGTGTCCCCCTCTACTTCAACCGAATCTAAATAGGAGTAGTTCTATTAACACGTAATTATAATATGTTTATAAAGAGTAAAATGCAAATAATATATTAGCACAGTTCAGAATTGTTAAGAACATTATAACAAGAACCACTTATTTTTAGCAATACTCTACTGATCTTTAAAGGTTAAATAATAGTGGTCTTAACTAAGGGCTATCTATTTTTCAGTGACTCAGCATATCAATTTAGTATTTATTGAGTTCATCTACACTGGAAAAACAAAAGTATATGAAAATGACAAGACTGCAGCAGGTAGCTAGATGGAGAACCCATTAGTTGGGACCATTTATGTGGATGGATGGATGGATGGATGGATGGTCACTGCAGATATAAAATGAGCTAGACTCAGAATTGTCTAGGCCAGAAGAGGAGAACCTTTGGCTTCCAGGCCACATGTGGCCCTCTAGGACCTCAAGTGTGGCCCTTTGACTGAATCCAAATTTCACAGAACAAATCCCCTTAATAAAAAGATTTGTTCTGTGAAACTTGGATTCAGTCAAAAGGCCACACCCAAGGACGGAGAAGGCCACATGTAGCCTCAAGGTTGCAGTTTCTCCACCCCTGGTCTAGGAGATTAGATGGGGAAATTTATGGGAAATTTGACTTTCAATGATTGCAAACTTCTCAAATCCTCAAAACTTCATTAATACCAATATTCTCAAGCTATATTACTGAATCATAAAGATCTTGATCTTGGAAGAATCAATACTTTAAAAATCCAAAGAGCCCTACAAACATACAAGGTCCACATAAGTAGACTACAGCATATTACAAAAAGTAACATCTACTCTAAATGGCATAAAAGACATTGAAGATTTTGACAAAAATGGTAACACATGAACTGCCTAGATGGTACATTGGTGCCAATAAGATATTAAGTTGACCAGAATACCCCTTGATTGTTGAGTGTATACTCTGTAGAAAATGAATGAAAAGAGATGAAATAAAAATTGTAAAAGTTATGGTGTGATTGCATTAATGGAAAGAATGAGAACCCACGTCAATAAAATCTCATATCTATCAAAATATTTAGTGCCTACTACATGCTAAACATGGGGGGAAAATACAAAGAAATTTGTGGGGAAAACTTGTATGAATTATGTAACAAAAGGAAATGAGATACCACAAGATAGTATATAATTGCCATTGAGTATGATGTAGTTTGGTTAGTTTAGACATTTTTCCTAGAGGAAAGGTGATGGGGGAAAAGGGGTAAAAATGGGAATAGGCAAACAGATAGAAAACAGTAAGAACAGTAAGTGTATGAGGACAGTCCCAGAACGCCAAAGGAATTTTACTAATTCTGATGTGCATCCTTTTCTAGCTTACTTCTGAATGGTATAGTCAGTATTGCCTGAAGTCTGTTTACTATACTTTATAAATTCATAAGACTTATAAAGGGCTCCAACTCCTTTTGTTTTCCAAAGTACAAAACTTAGCCTCAACCTTCTTGGGTGGTTTATAATAAGCCTGTAGTTCTGGGCAGGACTAGCTTCATGAGATTGTTACACTGGCTAGTTCATTTCTCAGGAGCAAAACTAGTTGGCAGTGAAGTGGATTGGTGTTTATCTCCTTATATCCTTTTTGCTTGTGTGTATTACTTGGTTTATATACTATTAATAAACTCCTTTGTTACATCAACTGTGTGTGGAGCTATATTTCTGTTGCTTAAAGTCCTGAAATGAACTTATATAGAGTTGTACAGGAAATAAATAATTAGGGAATCAAAGGAGGGAAACACCACTTAGCAGCTGGACAGGTATAGGAAGCTGTAAAAATCTTACTCTTTGTTTTAGAGATGGTTTACCGAGGTGATAGAACTAAAGCTGAGCCTCGAGGTATGGATAGGAAGAAAGAAGGGCAATTCTAATGGAAAGACAACATAAGCAAAAGCACAGAAGGAGGAAGGGGGCATCAAGTAGACTAATTTGACCAGAGAATAGAGTTCATGTTGATGAGTTGGAGGAGGAAATAAAGCTGGAAAGGTAAGTTGTAGCTGGATGTGGAAGGCCTCAAATACTAGGCTAAGGAGAGTAAACTTTAATTCTTTTCATTTGTAATTTTGTTTGTTGAGTTGTTTCAGTCACGTCTGACTTTGTGACCCCTTTTTGGAGTTTTCTTGGCAAAGATACTGCAGTGGTTTGCCATTTTCCTTCTCCAGCTTATTTTACAGATGAGGAAACTGAAGCAAACAGGGTTAAGTGATTTGCCCAGGGTCACACAGTAAGTGTCAAGTGTTTGGTCTGAGACAGGATTTGCACTCAGTTCCTCTATCTACTGCACCACCTACCTGCCCCATATTTAACAAACTTTTTTTTGTTTGTTTTTTTATATGAGGCAATTGGGGTTAAGTGACTTGCCCAGAGTCACACAGCTGGTGAGTGTTATGTGTCTGAGGCCGAATTTGAACTCAGGTCCTCCTGACTCCAGGGCCCGCACTGTATCCGATGCCCCACCTAGCTGCCCCAGCAAATTTTTTAAAGATAATTGTGCTACACACTGATGATATCATGAGGCAAACAGCCTGTTTTCAGGGATCTCATACTCTAATGGTAGGAAAAGGCATGCACATAAA